AGCAATTTTGTTTTCTGTAAAACAGAGTCCAAACCCACCTTAGCATGGCCTTTGTGATTGGGCACCCCCGTCCCCTCTACTCACATGGTGCCAGCCACGCACTCCTTACCCACTGTCTCCTTCCTTCATAGCAGAGGCCCAGGCTTCAGCTGCCCCTCCTGATAAAGACATTTTTCAGATTCCCTTGCAGCATGTTAGGACCACATGACAAGTTCTGTTAATGAAATATGAAAGTCTTCCCTAAGCCTGTTTATAAATCAGCTTAATAGAGAAGAGGCTTAACTGAAAGGAATGCCCCTGTTGCCTGGAACTTTGATGTCCTGGCTGGAGCTCCAGCAGCCTTTTTAGACGCCACAGACCGCCACCACCCCCTCCCCCGCCATGCCACTTCGGCTTTCCCAGCTCTCTGTGTGGCCCTCCTGTTGCACTTACCTGTCAACCAGGATGTACGTGAAGGGGCTAAGGGACAGGAACCGGGTTTTCGCCAACCTCTAGTTCCCTGTAACTAAGACAGTGCCACACACATAGCTGATACTCAGTAAACTAATGTGGAACACACAGGAAAGGTGTGACTGTCACCTCCCAGGGCAGAAAGTGACAGCCATGCTGCCCCTTCCCTGATATCCACTCACGGCCGAGTGGCCACGCAGGTGCTGTGGGTGCAGGGGCAGGGATACCGGTAGCTGAGGGGCCGGGTGAATCGGCACCCAGGAAGGTCCAGATGGGACGCAGAAGGGCGAAAGTGCCACTGTTGACCTCTCTGGGCCTCCCTCCTCCGCCCCCAAAACCGGGTGGGGCAGCTACTGCCGCAGAGGACGCAGGAGCCCCCAGGATGTTACGGTGCTCGTGGGGCAGGCGGACTTGAGGGTCAGCGAGAGCCCGGGGACACAGGTGCAGGGCTCCTGCTGCCTTTGCGGCTGCCCGGGCTTCCCCCCAGGTCAGTCCCACTGCTCTCCACCAGGGGGCGGTGTTGGGAGGCCCTCCCCGAGCTCCAGTCCGCCGGCTCATGGGAATTTGGCCAGTGCGGAGAGCGTGCCCCTGTGCCTCTGTGCCCGCCCACCCCAGGTGGCGGTGGAGACGTACCCAGCACCCACAGGCTTCCCCTGGGCGCCCCCCAGGCGCCGCGCCCCGGGAACGCTGTTCTGAGCCGTTACTTGGGTTCCTCACGGAGGAGAAATCATGCAGTGTCCAAGCTTGTGCGCCAGATTTAGTGCCCTCCGTGCTGCAGCCCCAAGTGGCACCCATTTTACAAACGACTCCAATTTACCCTTTGTGGTGGGTGAGTACGGCGCCATGCGTGTAAATGCCGCGCACTGCTCCTGGCTGGCACCGCCGGAGTGGGAGGCAGCGGTGGCCATGCTCTGGATCGCTGACACCCACGGGCACGCGCATTGTCACAGGTAGCATTGTGGTTGTCCTTTGGTTATCCACGGGATCGGTCCCCTCTAGATACTAAAGCTCATGGGAGCGTAAGCCCCTTACATGGAAGGGCCTGGCGTTTGCATTTAACCTTTGTGCATTCCCCCAAGTCGCTGCTGCCGCTGCTGTTGGAAGACAGGGTCTCGCTATGCAGTGCTGGCTGGCCACGAACTCAGCATGTAGCCCAGGCTGGCCTCAAATTCACAGCGATCCTCCTGCCTCAGCCTCCCGAGCGCTGGGGTTACAGGTGTGCGTCACTGCACCTGCCTGGCTGTCAGGTGACCTTCCAAGGAAGGCCTCACACTGACCTGTCTCGCCCTGATGCGTCCTTTCTGGCCACTTATGATGCCAGTGGGCCCAGGGTTCAGGGCTGGGTTTCCAGGCATAGCGGCCTCCACCCCCTGTCTCTCAGCCTGCCCCACCATGCCCTTTGCGCTTTCAGCAGGGGAAGGAGGACAGGTAGGTGCTGGCAGTGCACTACAACCGGGGTCCCAGGGCCCCGATGGCAGGGGTCACAGGGCTGGGCACCATCCCAGAGCTCGCAGGCTTCTTCTTGCCAGGTAACCTGCACAAGGACTTTGTAACGGTAGGACCTGAGCCAATTGAGAGCTGGATGCCACAGAGGGGTCCCCAGGTGGTGACAAAGTCACCCTAGGAGGGAGGAGCTCAGAGGCCTTCGTCCCCGAACCATGCCACCCGGCCACTTTGAGGGGTTAGTGGACTGCAGGGCGGCCTGTAGTGCCGACCACGCCCAGCAGGGGCCGCCCGACCGCTGCTCCTGTACGGAGGCTGCCAGGGTGGTCCCGGGGCCCTGAACAAACGGTGGCCAGGAGACAGCAGCTTGACCACGCCAGTGGCACAGCAGGGGCCTGCCCAGCAGCCACTCGCGTGCTCCGTCAGTAACCACCTGTGAAGCACCTGCCTGGGGTGCGCCCTGGCCAAGGGGGGTAACAAGACAAGACTCTGGGCCAGAGCCTGATGGGAGTGAGAGCCGCTTCTCCCCTTTGTGCCTCTGTTTCCCCTGCGGGACATGGATTCTGGGATTAGCGGTGTGGCAAAGGCAGCAGAGGTGCTGTTGCTAACCCCACTCACAAGAGGTGGATGAGGTAGAGGGGAACATGTGTACGTGTTTCTTTAGTAAAGTAAGTTAGGTGACCTGGGGACCTTCAGAAGTGAAGACCCAACTCCGACAGGACGGTGCATGCCTGGAATCCCAGCCACCTGGGAGGCTGAGGCAAGGACATGTTGAGTTGAAGCCTAGGCTGATGACTGAGTAATTCCTGCCTCAGAGTACAAAATACAAGGGCCTGGGGTTAGAGCTCAGTAGGATAATACTTGTGTCATATGTTCAGGGGCCTTAGGTTCAAGCCCCAGTGCTACCAGAAAAGAAAAAAAAAAAAATGAAGACCCAAAGAAATGAGGGACTTGGTGTTTCCCTGGTGCACCTGTGTCACTAGGACACTGGGACCGGAGTCCATACCTGTGGTGGAGAGGCACAGCTGTCTAGGAGGGGACACGCAAGTGGGAACAAGGTCAGTTCCAATGGTCCCCTGGCCTGACTTCAGGGGCGACACATGGATGAGGGGTGTGGCCTGTTTCCTAGGAGAAGGGCAAGGGGCGCAGGATGGGCCTCTGCTTCTGCTGTTTCCCCAAGTGCCAAGCAAATGCCCCACCCCCAGCCTACTGCAAACTGAGCTCAGAGCTACTCCGGCAGCTAAATTTTGAGTTAACATCTTGCTAAAACAGTAAATTCCCCAGGCTGGGTTTGAACCCGTGCTCCTCCAGCCTCAGCCTCCCACAGTGCTGGGATTACAGGTGTGCACCACCCCGCCCAGCCTAGAGGCATTTTTTTTCTTTTTGAGACTGGGTCTCACCACCTTTCAAATTGGCTTTGGGTTCATTTTGTAGCCTAGGCTGGTCTCAAATTTGCAATGATCTCCTGCCTTAGCCTCCTGAATGCTGGAATTACAGGTGTGCACCACCATGCCCGGTTTGAAAAGGCCTTATTTTAAGGTGGCATGCCTGGAGCTCAGTCTGTCACAGAAGTTCACTTAGGTACACGTGGTGGCCTAAGGTCCTGCAGGTAAGTGACAGGCTGCCCCACTCCACCATTGGCTTTGGTAATTTTCCTGATGGGCTGAAGCAAAGCTGGCACCTGATTGTCTCTAAGACGCCATGCGCAGCCCTTTCACGGAGGCGAGGTGGCCCCAGCTGCAGCCTTCGGAGCCGCACCCAGCAACCAGGCTGCGGGCGGAGTCCAGGAGGGAGGAGCAGGGCTCCAGTGCCACCCAGACACTGCGGGCTTCGGAGGCCAGAGGGCACCAGGGTCCCCATGACTACGTCCCTGGGAGTCCACAGACCGGACTCCGCCGGCTTGGGCTTCAGGGGCAGAAATCAAGGAGCTGGCAGGGGCGCCCGAGAGAGGAGACCAGGGTGGCAGCGTCGCCCACTTTCCTCTCCCCACTAGCAAAGTCATACCTTGTCGGGCAGGAAGGGGCCACCAGACCAGCTCATCCTGGCTTAGGTTGGAGACCCCAAGGCTAGCGAGGACAGGGAAACAGAGGTGCAGAACCTGGCGCTCCAGACCCCTCATCCTTTCAAACCACTGGCGATTCCCCACAGGGCGCATTCAAAGTGGTCCCCAACTGTGGCCTGGATCTGATATGGTATTGGAGCCTGGAGGTCGAGGCCTGTGCCACTCACAGACCCCAGACCAAGCTGGGGCCTTGCACCCAAGCAGGCTCGCAGGACCCCTTGTGAGGAGCTGCAGTCCCCAGGGCCCCGGGCCTCTTGTCAGCCAGCTCTTAACAAGGCCCCGGAGCTGGGGTGCTCACTGCCTGTGGGAGGCACCGTGTGAAGGCAGCCCTTTCCCCCAGGTAACCTGGGGGCAGAGAGCATCTCCAGTTTCAAAAGGCCTGACTTCTTGTGGCGCTCTTTGATGATGTAGCCTATCCTAGAAAGTATATTCCTAGCACTTTAACCAAAAAAATTATTTATTTGTTTTTGTCTTTTTGAGACAGGGTCTCACTATGCAGTTCAGGCTGGCCTTGAGCTCACTTTGCAGCCCAGGCTGGTCTCGAACTTGCACTGAGCCTCCCTGCCTCAGCCTCCCAAGTTGGGATGACAGGCGTTCACCACCGTACCCAGCTGTTATTTTTTTAAATTTTGAGACAGCAGCTCACTAAGAAGTTGCCCAGGCTGGGTTTGAATTTGCAATCCTCCTGCCTCAGCCTCCCAGTATGCTGAAATTATAGGCATGCACCCCCACACCTGGCTAACTGGGGATACTTTTTAAAACTCCTCCGTCCCAAACCCAAGCCCCACCCAAGCCAGGGAACCAGAGACTCTGGGACCAGTTCTTATTAACGTGGGCCAGGCTGTGATGGGTCAGAAATGAGGCAAGGCTGGCCCGGCCATGGCCACGTCCCGTTTCCTTTTCTCAGCCAGCTGCAGGCAGGTCTGCTCCAAGCCAGGAGAAGCCACCAGGAAATTCCCTGGACATTGTAATGTGTGACAACAGCGTCTAATTAATCATCAACCCTGTGATACGATCTCCACCCATTAAGAAAAGAGACCCGCTGAGGCTTCGGGGAGCTGAGCCCTGGCCTTCCCCAGACGGTTCCCACCAGAGAGGGTAGCAGTGCCCAAGGACCTGGGGCCGATGGGTGCCCACCTCTGTTCAGCGGCCGGTAAGGAGACTTCCTGCTTCCCGGGGCCAGGCTCTGCGGCTGTGAAGGCTGAGGGGACAGGGCACTGGTCACTGTGCAGTACTCGGAAGGTAGTGGGGTGGGCAGGATTGACCTTGCTCAGGAAGGGTTTCCCATGTGGCTCAGCCCCTGGGGAGGTAGTGAGTTTCCTGTCCCGCCTGGGTCCAGTTGAGACTCAGGCCCAGGACTACTGTGGTGACATGAAGACCACCAACCAGCCTCGTCCTCAGATCCGGGTAGGCAGAGGGAGACTCGGCCAGGCTGGGCAGCAGGGCATGTTAGGAGGTCAGGATAAAAGCAGGGGGTCCCAGCTGGGCCAGGTTGGACTGCAGGATCTTGGGCAAGTCCTTCTGTTCCCAGGTCTGTTTCTTCTCCTGCAGGTTGGGGACCGTGTGACCCAAAGCGTCCCTTAGGAGAGGGTGCTGGGTGGGCAGGAGACCCACATCTTCGGTGCCCAGATGTTGGAGCCCCTCGGTGGGCACCTGAGACTGGCTGTACCCAGGCCACCCCTCCGTGCAGCTGTGTGACAGGTGGGGCAGTGACAGGGCGGTAAAGGAGGCAGCACAAGGGTTGGAGGGACAAGAAGCTGGGCCCCCACTTCTGGCCAGGAGAACATCGTGTGCCATGCAGCCTCTTCGGCTCCAGGGCTTCCCCAGGACGATGCAGGGTGGTAGAGGGCACCCTCCCGCAGCAGGAGGGGGTGTGCCAGGTTGCAAGGTCAAAGGGTAGGAGGAGCTGAGCAGAGGTGGGTGCCCACACCCTTCACACCCGCCTGTAACGCAGCTCCAGATGCAGGCAGCAGAGCCCTGTGCGAAGCAGGGGAAAGGGCCCCATGGGTGGATGGGTCCTGCAGGCCTGGGTCAGGCTGGCAGGGTGAGGGTGGCTCTCAACTCCTTCAACCTGGGCCTTGTGCAGTGAACAACCAATGCCACTGTACTGGACAGTGTGTGTAGAGAGACCAGGTGGTGACGCCTTACATGGCCACACTCAGGCAGTTGCTAAGGGGCTGTTGCCTCGGACAGGGCTGCAACCCAGGTATGCAGAGGACCAGTGTGTCCCCTCTGCTCCTCTCCTCTAACTGGACAGGAGAGCACTGTGGTCTGTCAGGTTCCAACCAGACAGGGCCAGCTTCTCCTGGGGTCCCAGGGCCTCCTCCAGAGGGCAGTGGGCAGCCACACAGCCACTCCTGGGAAGCTTCCTCCTCCCCAGGGTGCCCGACTGCCTCTGCTTTCCAGGAAGCTGCTGGGCAGTGAATGGGCCTCCCCCTCCCCCACCCTGCACAGCTCGGGTGCCTCCCCCGGCAGCAGGGAGGGGCCGGAGTGGTTGGCCAGGAAGGACACTTGACTGTGGTCCACCATGGGCCTGCAGGGTTGAGCAGCACAGGCTCCCAATCAGGGGCCCCAGAGGGTCAGTTCCTTTTCCCACAGGGGCTCGAGGGTGGCACCTCAGAGGTCCCTTTGCTTAGGGGCAGCAGTGAGGAACAGGAATCCAGCCACACCTGTAGGATGGGAGTGACACGGGGCAGGGGAGTGGGGGTGAGAACATCACAAAGGGCACTATGAGGACTAGTCCAGAGGTCCCCAGGCACCTGCTCCTTATGCCCCAGGCAAGAGCATTTCCGGTGCTTACCTGTGGTCTGTGGGATCAGGGATGGAGTCCCTGCAACCCCAGGGGCCTCCCCAGCACCAGACCGGGTGCAGCTTATTCCAGACCTTGGGGCTGAGTGAGGGGTCGGCTGCCCGGGAGGGTACAGTCCTTGCTGCTGCCAAGCAGACACCTGCGAGAAGTCCTGCAGCTTTGAACCCCTCTGGGCCTTGGCTGGACCCGGCTCCAGCTCCCAAGGCGCTGACCACAGACTCGTCTCCAGCCCCAGCCCCAGCCCCTACCACTGCAGGAAGCTGCTAGGTCCCTTTCTGTCCCAGGACCAGGAAGTCACCCTGGGGACAGAGAGGCAGAGGGGCAAACGGTGCGCACACGGGACCCTCACAGCCGGCTCCTTGGCCAGGGCAGCCCCGGGCTAGCGCAGTGGGCATCAAAGATGCTCCAACACAGCAGTCTTCCTGTAATTTCCATCCACCTCCTACTAAGGTGGGGGCTGCAGCCTGGGGGCTCCGTGGGAATCAGACCCAGGACGGCGAGGTGGGGGCTTCCCACCACTCCACACCGGTCTGGGGGCGCTCCTGGTACAGGCTGAGGCGGTGCTCAAGGGGTCCGAGGTGGCCCCAGGAGGCGGGGGTGGATGGATCGGGTCCCCTGGGGAGGAAGGGTTGCCCAGGGCGCTGAGTCCCCAGTGGGGGGTGTGAGGGTTTCCTCCGGAGCCGTCGAGCTGGTTCCAGCCCATTCAGACCCGTCTTTCGCCCCCAACCTGTCCTGCAGGTGCACAGGTTCCAGCTGAGGCGCTGCGCTTCCACGCGGCGGCCCAGGGCGCGCAGGTGCGCGTGGACGCGCACGGCCGCACGGCGCGCAGGGGCGCCTCGTTCCGCGACGGCATCGTGTTCAGCCAGCGGCCGGTGCAGCCCGGCGAGCGCGTGGCCCTGCGGGTGCTGCGCCAAGAGCCTGGCTGGTGCGGCGGCCTCCGCGTGGGCTTCACGCGCCTGGACCCCGCGCGCGTGCCGGCGCCCGGGCTGCCGCCCTTCGTGTGCCCGGACCTGGAGGCGCAGAGCCCGACGTGGGCCGCCGTGCTGCCTGAGAGCTGCGTGCGCGCCGGCAACGTGGTCTGTTTCTGGGTGAACCGCCGCGGCTGGCTCTTCGCCAAGGTCAACGCCGGGCGCCCTCTGCTGCTGCGCAAGGACGTGCTGCTGGGTTCCCCGCTCTGGGCGGTGATGGATGTGTACGGGACCACCAAGGCCATCGAGCTGCTGGGTGAGACCTGGGAGCGACATGGGCAGAGCCGCCCGCGGATTCATAGTTTTCCCATCGGGCCCTGCCTAGGGTCAAGCTAAGGATGAGCAAATCCAGCCATAGGGAGGGCAGCCATGTCCCTAAGGGAGGACTGGAGAACGAGAACGGGACCAGCAAAAAAAAGACCAAAAGAAAAAAAAAAAAAAAAAGCCATTTGGGGGCTGGGGATTTAGCTCAGTGGCATAAGCACCTGCCTTGTAAGCAGGCAGCCTTGAGTTCGATCCCTGGTACCGGTAAAAAGGAAAAAAAAGACCAAAAGAGAACGGGACCAGCACCGGCAACGCTAACTGATAGAAGGCGCATCATGGGCTGGGCTTTGCAGCCTCAGGTCACCAGCGCCAAAGAGGGCAGCAAAGGAAATTGGAGCACGAGGGAGGGCACTGGGGGTTCCCAGGCGGGGCGCACAGGCCGAGCCAGAGGACCCTGGGTTTCCGGGAGTGTGGAGAAACGGGCATCCACGGAAAGGATTACTGGTGTTTTCCTGGGCGCATGGGCCATCTGCATTCCAAGCGAATTTGCTCGTAAAATAAAATAATTCCCCGTAGCTGCGGGGCCCGGCCCTAGGGCATCCGGTCTGCAGAGTGGAAGAAGGGGGATCAGACTGCCATGTCCCTGGGCATTGGAGTTGGGGGACGGTCAGTGTGAAGAGGAGCAGAGCAGAGAGGAGGGGCTTGAGGGAAGTGGGTTGGGAGGCAGAATTGCAGCCCCGTGGATTCTCAGCAGGGCCAGGACTGGGTCTGAAAATCTCTAACGCGCCCCCCTTCCCCCCGCTGCCGCACCGTCCCCCAGGGGAGGAAGGGGTGGACAGACACCTGGGCTGCTGGCCTGGGCCCTGAGTCCCCGTTCTGTCTTAGACTCCGGAGCCAGTTCGAGCACCACAGCCACCCTGGGGGTCCCCAGCGAGGAAGCAGAGCTGGAGCCTAAAGGTGAGTGGGTCCCAGGGCTCCAGCACCGGGAGTGGGGTTCAGGTTGCTTGCAGTCAGGTCTTTCCTCACCCCTCGGCGGGTCTCTCAGTCTTTGAGCCAGATTTGATTCTGCGCCTGAGAAACCTAAAAGCAAACTGGGGGTGCAGCTCAGTGGCACAGCTCCTGCCTGGCAAGGTCCTGAGTTCAATTCCCAGTACCAGAAAAAGAAAGAGACAGACAGACAGACAGAGCAAGCTAAGAGCAGTTTTGCCTTCAGCAGTATTGGCCAACTTTACAAATTCTAAGCGCATGTTTCACAGAAGGATATGTTGGCATACGGCTCTAATGCCAGCATTCTAGGAGGCCAGGGCGGGAGGATTGCAAGTTCAAGCCCAGCCTGGGCAACTTAGGGAGACAATTTTAAAAATAAGGAAGGAGGGATTGTAGCTCTCTGGATATCATCAGTTCAACCCCAGTACAAAAAGAAAAAAAAAAAAAGGCAACATCTTGGTTTTGTTTTAAGAAAGAAATCTATATGCATTTCATTTTATGTGTTTATTCTTAGCGTTTCTCTATGTAAGTCAGTCTGTTCTTGAACTCACTGTGTAGCCCAGGCTGGCCTCAAACTTGCACTAGTCCTCCTGCCTCAGCCTCCCCAAGTCACACCCATCTCTACTTTTTTTTGAGACAGGGTCTCTTTATGCAGTCCAAGCTGGCCTTGAGCTCACTTTGTAGCCCAGGCTGATCTCAAATTTGCAACGATCCTCCTGCCTCAACCTCCCAAGTGCTGGGATTACAGGTGTGAGCCACCACACCCGGCTCTCTACATTTATTTTAAACCTTCCCCAAATAATATTAAGGGATTCAGAATTTTTTGGCAGTTACCCAACCATGAATTTTAGAGCCTTTCTCAGTGCTTAGTACATGGGGCACCATTTGGGCCTCACCTCTGTTTTATCGGAATTGTGATTTTATTTTGTATATATTTAGATGTTTTACATGATCTTCCCCTTTATCCTTAGAGGTTATATCAATATCTGAAATTATGGATTATCCCATGTACTTTGAGTTTTCCTAGTTTATAAATTGCATATATAAAGACATCAACAGTAACTACCAGTGGGACCATTGTGACAGTGTTCTGTGGAAGCAGTTATTTGAAATTTGTGATTTTTTGATCCTGGAATTTTCCACGCACTGTCTCTGTGGCAACCGAAACCATGGAAGGCCAGGCTGAGACAGGGGCCCTGCGTGTCCTACGGCTTCTTCCTGGGTTCTGACCTTCGCTCACGTAGTGGCTGGGTCTTCCTGGAGTGCCCTGTGTGTCTACATCCTGGGGTGCTGGGCTCGGCCCCTGCTCGGAGGCCCAGTGTCCCCAGCCTTGGGTCTCCTTCCAGCTCCGCCGGGGGATGAGTGCATTATCTGCTTCCACCGCGCCGCTGACACCCGCTTCGTCCCCTGCGGCCACCTGCACTTCTGCAGCGCCTGTGCCTGGCGCGTCTTCGAGGACTCGGCCAAGTGCCCCATGTGCCGCTGGCAGATCGAGGGGGTGGCAGCAGTGCAGCCACAGAGGCCCGGAGGAGGGTCCTGAGAAGGCTCCCACAGGGGGCAAGCGGGCCTGGCCCCGAGGACAGAGGACAGAGGAGATGTGGCCCTGCTGGCTTCCTGCGTGATCAGAAAGCCGGTGAGCAGCTAGAGTGGGGACAAAGGTGGCTGCTTCCCTGCCTCCCCGCCAGCAGGAGACATGGTGGCCAGAGGAAGCCTGATTACCCCCCAGCTGGGTGCTGGCTGCCACCCAGGTGACCTGGTCCCTCGTGTTACAGCTGAGGGAGTGACAGTCTCCCTGCGAGCCAAGAGCTGAGGATAGGGGGAGCAGAAGGCCACCGTCCGCAAGGCCACCGTCCAGTGACCCATGGCCACTTCCCAGGGCAGGGTGGGGGCCCAGGGACATCAAGCCTCTGTGTGAAGAGAATTCACACGCACGCACGCTGTTGCACTGACTTGTAAGGCGTCACAATAAAGTTTATGTCCTGTGAATTTTTAGCTACGGCTTGTGCTCACTGGAAGGGATGGCGCTCTGGGCTGGCCTGGACACTGGGGCATTTGGGGACAAGCCATCCTGCCCTCTCCGGCCACCCTGGGTGTGCAGGGCAAATGGGCTGGGGCCTGGGCACTCCGGCACATGGCTCTGTCCAGCTGAGCAGTGCCAGGGACAGTGCCACAGTCCCAGCCCCTGGGCATCACCTGAGCTGTGCCCTCGCCACTGTGGCTTTGGGGGACCTGCCTGGCAGAAGGCAGGAGGTGGCTTGGGAGCGCACCTCTGGACGCACTAGTAGCCGAGGGTGATGGACCTGTGCCCTTGCAGCTGCTCCCACTCTGTGCCCAGCCCCAGGGCACTTCCTGAAGCATGGAGCCAAGCCGAGTTTCAGACCTATTCTTGTGGAAATTGAAATGATGGTGCCACCCATGAATATCCTCTGTCCACCCCTAACCATCCCCTGGGTCAGGGTGTTGCCTCAGATGATGCTAGAATATCCCCCCTCTGCAATAGTAGTCCTTCTGCCCCCAGCAGGGCCCCAGCCTCGGGCACATCCCTGTGCCTCAGTTTCTTTCTTTTCTTCTGCCATGCTGGGAAGTGAACCAGGACTTCTGTATGCTAAGCAACAGCTATATCCCTGGCCTCGCCTGGATTTAACATGATTCCTAAGGATCCTACTGTACATTTTTTAGCCTTTTTTTTGTATGTGTGGTAGGGGAGATTGAAACCAGGACCCGAGCTACATCCACAGCTTTCATAATATTTACCTATTTATTTTTGGACAAGATTTTGCTAAGTCACTAAGATGCCCGGGATGGGCTTGAATTTGTGATCCTCCTGTCTCAGACCGCTGGGATGACAGGCGTGGACCAAATGCCTGGCTTTTTGAATGTCATTTTAAAACCCAGACAGGCATGTCCATGAAAGGTCAACATTTTGGATCAATTCAGGATGTTAAGGAAGCCACAACTGTGCAACTAAAGATACAAAAGAAGACTCTAGAGAGCTGCTTTAGAAAGCGGAGAGGGTGATGGGATGCCAGTGCTCAGCCCTGGACGGGCATTTTTGAAGGGGGTTAGTGGCAATGTGTCTTTCATTGTGATAATATTTTAATTAAACATGGATCATAGTTTCATCATACACTGTACTTCTATAATACTGCTTGGATTCTGGCCCCCAAAAGAACCCTAACCGCCACACTCACTGATGAGTAAAGGCCACCTGTGGTCTGTCTGTCATGAAATTTTGTGCCATGAGGTTGCCAGGCGGGAGTCACCGCTGCATTTCTGACAACGGAGAATGTGGTGTATAGGAAAGGTTGTGTGAGGAGGTGTGTGCCTGTGTCTGTGTGTGCACGTGTGCGTGCTGGTAAACATACAGCAGAGGGCGTGAGGGATATGAGGTGAACTGGGAAGGGTCCGGGGTGGGTGGCGGGATTGGATGTGTGATTTTAGGGCAATGTTTGAACTGTTTTTTCTTTCTTTTTTTTTTTTAATTCATTTTATTTCAAAGAGAAAAAAAAAATTTCAAAACACATCAATCAGGGGGCACCACTGGCATAGAGTCTGCACACTGCCATCCCCAAATCTGTCACCCAGAGCACAAGACATCTGCATTCCATTGTCCGAACTATAACAGCACAAGTCCTGTTCGGTGAACTCAGAGAAATCGGTACTGTAATTACCTGAACTACTTTTATATACATACACATATCTGTTGTTTCAGCTCCTCACAATAGTGAGGCAATACGATGTTTACACATGTGTCTGATTTATCTCACTTATAATTATGTTCTCAAGTTACATCTGTCTACCTATAAAAGTCTCCAGTTTATCTTTTTTATAGCTGAGTAGTACTCCGTTGTATAAAAATACCACATCTTTTTTATTCATTCCTCAGTGGATGGCCATTTAGGTTGTTTCCAAGATCTGGCTATTACAAATTGTGCTGCTATAAACATGGGTGCACATATATCACTGTGGTATGATGTTTTCAGTTCTTCTGGGGAGATACCCAGAATTGGGATACCTGGAATACCAGCAGTCATAGTCCACACTGATTTCCACAGTGGTTGCACAGGCTGCACTCCCACCAACAGTGGAGAAGGTTCTTTTTTCCCTATGGCCCCTCCAGCACTTGTTATTGGTTGATGTCTTGATAATAGCCATTCTTTTTGGGGTGAGGTGGAACCTCAGTGTTAACTTGCATCTCTTGAATAACCAGAATGTTGAACCTTTTTTCACATACTATTTGCAGTTTGCATTTCTTCCTCTGAGAAGTGTGTATTCATCTCAGATGCCCATTTTTGGATTGGGTCTTTAAATCCGGGAGGACTGATTTTTTTGAGTTCTTTCTATGTTCTCAATAGCAATCTTTGTGTGAGGTCAACAGCAAACATTTCCTCCCATGCTGTGGGTTGTCTCTTCACTCTGTTGGTTTCGCTTGCTGTGCAAAAGCTTTTCAATAATATGAGATCCCAGTTGTTGATTCTTTGTCATAGTTTCTGTGCAATTGGGTTTTTTGAACTATTTTTTCTTACAGTGGAACAAGTTTACAAATTAGTTAAGAAACAAAAATAGTTGCATTGGGAAACAATGAGGTGATTTCTCAAAAAGCTAAATATAGAATGACCATACAGCCCAGTGGTTACGGCCAGCAGAACTGAAACCACGTATCTGCGCAACATGTGTACACGAATGTTCACAGAATCGTGCATAACCCAAGTGTCCAGTCGCTGATGAAGGATAAGGAGACATACTCACTGCAGTGGAATGCCACTGCTATGACGCGGGTGTGCTGGCGCATGCCTGCGATCCCAGCACTCTGAGTAATTTAGTGTCTTAGCAAGATGCTGTCCAAACTGAGGGGGAGGAGGATATAGACAGACAGAGACAGAGACAAAAGGGGAAGGAGCAAAGAGAGAAAGAGAAAAGAGAGAGAAATGGAGACGTAACTCAATGTAAAGGACCTTAAGGCCAGAAAAAAAAGTATGAGACCAGCTGAGCGTGGTGACCATAAGCTATAATCCCAGTTACTCAGAAGGCTGAGGCAGGAGGATCACAAGTTTGAGGCTAGCTCATGCAATTTAGTGAGACTCTGTCCAGAATAAAACATTTAAGAGGGTATAGCCAAGTGGTAGAGGCTTGCCTAGCAGCGCGGGGCCCGGGGCTCAATCCCCAGCACCCCCCCCCCCCCACACACACCATGAAGCGCAGGCTCCTTGCTCCAGCAGGGGCGGACCTTGGAAAGGCTCTGCTGAGAGACGGAAGCAGCCCCACGAGGCTGTCGGTCATATGATTCCATTCACACGCGATGTTCAGAACTGGAAACCCAGGGACAGGAAATAGATTAGTATGTGCCAAGAGCTGGGAAGAGGGAAACGGGGAATAACAACTCGGGGGGTGGGGCTCCAGGTGGGGTGAGGAAAACGGTCTAAACTTGTGCTACAATTGTGCTGGTGGCTGCACAACTTTGAGGCTGTACCTTAAACCACTGAGCCGGCACATTTATGTAGTTCATTTCAGGCAGTCCTCTTGAACTCATGGCAGTCCTCCTGAGTGCTGGGATCACAGGCATGTGCCACCATGCCTGGCTTGGCACGTTTCAAAAAGATAAATTTTATTTTTAAAACATGAATATTATGTCAGGTTGTTTCCCAAGAAAGTATTGAAATTATTGTGAATAAAGCGCTGGGGGATGGGTGGCAACTGACCAGGGAACAGGAGAAGCTGGAAGAGGGGTGGCATTCCAAGGGGCCTTGGGGGCGGGCACAGCGCAGGTGAAGACGAGGGTGTGCAGGGAGCTAACTGGGAGGACGTCTGAGGAGCAGATGGCCACCCAGGCGGGCCAGGGCGGGCAGCGGGCGGCACTGTCCCCCCTAACTGCTGGGCTGACGCCACCGAGGAAGGAGACACGGCAGTGCCCGCTTCACCCCGCACACCGCGCTTGCTAAGGAGCGTTTTCTAGACGTCTACAGCTCACAGGGAAGCCCCGGGTGCGGGCGGGCAGGAAGGACGCCGCGCTGAACAGAAAGCGAAAGGGCGCCCGGGCTCCGGGGTCTGGGTAAGCAGGAAGCCGGCCTGGGCTGGGTCCAGGAGCTGGCAGGGGCTTTCCTGGACACTGGGGGACAATTCCAGAAGGCTTCCTGCTAGAGTACCTGGGGGAGACCTGGGTGTCTGTGACCAGCCCTCCCTGGGGGCCGTGGCCCCAGATGCCTCATCACACACTAGCACCCCCATGCTTCTGTCCCTAAAGGACCTTGGTGCCCTTGCCCTGTCCCCGAGCTCTCACAGGGAGGCTCCTGCTGCTGAGAAGCTGTTCAACAGACCCTACTTGAGCAAGCCTACAAGCAGGCCTGGCAGAGGGGCTGGCTCCATTCCTGAGCCCTGGGGGAGGCTCACAGATCTTGGGGGTGGCGTTCGGGGTCTGGAGCAGGACTGAATTTGTGGGGTGCAGGATTCTGGCTAAGCCTTCCCTAAGGGTCCCAGCTTCTTTCCTCTTTCCTGCTGTCCAGCCCTCTTTCCTCTCCCACTTCTCTCCAAGATATCCACAGGCCCCCACCCCACCATCTGCAGGTTTCTCCCCTGAGCTGGGCTCTGGGATCGGTTTCCCTCTAGAGATGGTTTCTAGATTCTTGCTGCCCTGAACAAGGAATTGATCAAGACAAGTGGAAAAGGAAAAAAGATAACAGGGCTTTACATTTAGTAAAGATATTAAAGGTTATCCCTGAGACCAGC